ACCAGGTCGAGACGCCTATCAAGTGGTACACTTACGTTGTGCCGCGATGCCCAACAACTACACAGACATTGGCGGGGACGTCCTGGACCCAGCCAACTCGTTGAAGATGAGGTCTTCGCACAGACAGGACAGAAGCCCTGTCCTTGCTCGACCGTCCCGCCTTGGGCCCAACCCAGTCACGAACGAAATATCTTGGGCTCATATCATTCACAATCAGAGGTCATTCACTCGAGGCCCCTTCAGGCTCTTCAACCAAAGCGGCAGATCTCTGCCCGTCAAGAAACGAAGGACGCTCATCCGACACGACCCCGGCTGCCAGGGCTACCACTCCAACCGGTTCTGCGGACGACGACCGATCTGCAGCAACTGCGGAAGACCTTTCCGATTCACACGAAACGGGACCCTGCATGGCCAGGCCCCAATGTGCCAACTGCTGCGGCCCCCTTCCAAGCCAGCCACACAGACTGCCCAGCGAGGCCCTCGGCCGTAAACGGCGTCGTTCTCCCTTCCCGGTCGAAAGGAGCGGGCTCGGATCCGGAAGGCCCGGCCAGAAAGCATCGGACACTCTGTACAAGGCTACTCGATCCGACAGTAGCCAGGAGGCGGCAGGCGTCCCCTACCTCCACCAGCCAGAACCAGCAACCCGGCGCCAAGCGCGCGCGCACGGAGAACGCCCTCCGCAAGCTCGATCGTTTGCCTCGGTGACGGAAGCACTGACAGCAGCAGCATGGATGAAGACGAGGCGGACGAAGGCGAAGGCGAAGACTCCCCCGACAACACCTCCATCGACCGTCCCGTGCTACCCATGGCCAAGCAGGAGCCAACCGGGCAGCACAGAAGCCAAACTACAACGTCGCGAATGCCTACACCCACCTCGAACTCGACTCGAGACGTAAGCCGAGAGCGGCGACCCCACGGATGCTACGCGTTGCGCAGGGCAACGTCGGAAAGATCTCCCCGGCGCACACGGCTTTCCTGCAGCTCTGCTGGAGGCTCAGATAGATGTGGTCCTCGTCCAGGAACCCTGGACGGGCTGGAAGGACGGAAACGTGCAACTGAACACGCACCCGGGTTTCGACTCTTTCGTCCCGGTCGACTTCTGGGACAGCGAAGGAACCAGACCAAGAGTATTGACCTACACACGCAAAGGGATAGGGATGACGGTGGAGCAGCAGAGGCCTGTCCACACGAAGAGACGTACTGTGGCTGGTGGTCGACAAAACGACGACTATCGTCAACGTGTACAGACAACCCCGCGACCCCCACAGCCGCACAACAGGGATACTGCTAGAACTCAAACCCCCGGAGCGAGCTTTGATCGCGGGTGACTTCAACGCGCATCACTACTCTTGGGAGCCCGGGACGAGGAACGGGAACCGGGGAATGACATCGCAGGCTGGGCAGACGGCCACAATCTCTCTCTTATCAGCGAAGTTGGGGTGGCAACCCCAGGATTGCGGACATGTCCTGGACCTGGCTTCTCTAATATCCCTTTTGCGCACGCGCAGGTCAGCCCACAGCTACACCGGGAGCTGACCACGAGGCCATCGTGGCCGTCATACCACTACTCAAACGCCCAGTGTCACAGGGAGAGGGCCACCCGCAGCCACGGCCACTGTCAGTGCCCGACTCGGCGCTGCCTCGGCTGAGAGACCTGATCGAAGGGGGCTAGCTGCGATGCCCAATCTGGGGGATCAACCTACTCCGGAAGACCTGGACGGGCAGGCAAGTCACATCGTCGAGCTCTTCTCCCGAGCCATTGAGGCGGTCGGCAAGAAGAGAGGAAAACATGGTAAAGGCGCGGCTTGGTGGACGGAGGAATGCGCAGAGGCCCACAGAGCATACCGTGCTGCCCGCAACCAACAAGCCTGGGAGACGGAGCAAGATGCGCACCTTTATCTAATGGAGAAACGAAAGGCGTTCCTGAGCACGGTGAGGAAGGCTAAGCGAGCATACTGGGCCGGAAAGATCGATGGAGTCGCTTCAGACCGGGACCTGTACCAGATCATGGGTTGGCGGAAGGCGAGCCTACTGACCAGAGCACCCCCATTGGTTGTGGACAACCAGACGATCGAGGATACTAACGAAAAGGCTCAAGCGCTTCGGGGAGCCCTTCTCGACAGGTTTAGTGCGGAAGATGACGCACCGGGTGACCCGTTTGACGTACCCGTCGTCCCGAGGCGAGCGATTACTTGGCAGGACAATGTTAGCGGAGAAGAAGTGAAGACGGCCACCTTAACAAAGACAACGACCCCTGGTGTGGACGGCATCACAACACGCCTCCTCCAGGCATGCTGGGATGTCATCTCGGAACCGGTCAGGCAGCTATTCCAGTCCTGTATGCGGGCCGGCCACTTTCCTCTGCCCTTCCGCAGAGCTGAGGTGGTCATGATCCAGAAGGCCGGCAGGGATGCCTCCAAGCCCGGGTCCTGGCGGCCGATCGCGCTCCTCTCGTGCCTGGGCAAGGGACTAGAGCGACTGATAGCCAGAAGGATGGCGTCCCTGGCGATTGTCGAGCGCATCATCAGTCCGCAACAGATCGGGGCTCTACAAGGCAGGTCAGCCGTCGATCTGACGACCTGCCTCACCCACGACATCGAGATGGCCCTCCTAAAAGGACTCACGGCGACACTTCTGACTATGGACGTAAAAGGGGCGTTCGACTCCGTCCTTCGGAACCGGCTCGTCATTAGACTGCGTCAGCAGGGATGGCCACATGGCCTGACCAGACTGATCTTTAGCTTCTGCTGCAACCGCACCGCTAGAGTCCGACTGGAAGAAAGCACAACGGAGTACTTCCCGCTGTCATGCGGGCTGCCTCAGGGGTCACCACTATCTCCCATTGCCTTTCTGCTCTACATCGCAGAGATACTTGAAGACGACCCGAACGCGCGATTCGGGTACGCGGACGACATCGCCACTCTGGCCATCAGCCCCTCCCTGGAGAGCAACGTCGCAATACTCAACCGAAGCGCAGCCGGCATTCTCAGATGGGGCTTGGAGAACAAGGTCTCCTTTGACCCGAGCAAGTGCGAGGTCATCCACTTTACTAGGAAGCACGGCCAGCCAGCGGAGCTGCCAGAGGTCCGGGCGGGGATTTGGTGGTCAAGGCCTCGACGAAACCTGTACGCTGGCTGGGTGTCTGGTTCGACAAGAGACTGTCCTTCCGGCACCATGTCGACGCAAAAGTAGCTGCAGCAAAGAGGGCAGCTCAACATCTGAGACAGCTTACGAACACAAAGAGGGGACTCCCAGCGGCCGCCGTGCGAAAAGCCGTCGTCTCCTGCGTACTGCCGATCGCGCTCTTCGGCGCCGAAACATGGTACGCAGGTATCACGAAGCCGGCTTCGAGACGCCAAGCGGAGACAGACACGAATCCGCCTCTCCAAGGAAGACCCGTCAACACAGGCCAAAAGGGGCTCGTGCAGAAGATCGACAGCGTCATTACAGCGGCAGCAAGGGCCGTTCTGCCTGTCTGGAGGACAACGCCAACCAGTAGCCTCCTCCGAGACGCCGGCTTACCGTCAGCCAAAGTCGCCTTAGAGGGCGTCCGCTTACGGGCCGCAGTCCGACTACAGAGGATTGATCGCCGACACCCGCTAGTCGCGCGGCTCTCCCAGCAGGGACAGCAACAGACGAGACTACAACGGACGGCTGAACTTCTGCCAAGATGCGGAAGACCAGCGTTCCTTCAATCACAGTACCTGCCAAGCTCACAGGATCAGATAGTAGTTCAATGCAAAGAAGAGGCTGCGAAAGCTTTCGAGCGCTGGCTAAAGACAGTACCGGAAAGCCATATGATCGTCTTCTCGGACGGCTCCAGGGCGACGAACGGAGCCGTGGGGTACGGCTTCGTCATCTACCGAGACTCCAAACGCATAGCACAAGGGTGCGGCCGACTCGGACTAGCAGAAGTGTTCGACGCCGAGGTCGAAGGGGCGCGAACCGGCCTCAGAAGGGCTCTGCTCACCAATCGCGGTCATCCAATCCACATATGTATCGACAACACCAGCGTTATACAAGGCATCCGCGGCAAGGCGCCGGACTCGTCACAAGACGCGTTCCTCGAAATCCAAGAAGCGGCCAGGATATTTGATATACGGACGCACTGGTCCCCGGGACACCAGGGCATCGAAGGAAACGAGGCCGCGGACCGGCTGGCCAAAGAAGGAACGACACTGCCGGCGCGGATGGGTCAAATGGCAACACTAGCGGGCATCAAGCGGCTTGCAAGGGAAAAATTACAAAGCCAGCACAGGAGATGGTGGTATAAAGAGCGAAGGCCGCGGTACGCGGACTTGGGGCTTGAGGCAGCTCTGTCCAGCCCTCCTGAACTGGCCTTGCCGCGGGCTACGTTACATCACCTGCTGGCGGCACGATCGGGTCACGGGGACTTCGAGCAATATCACCGACGTTTCAACCACGACGACGCTCTAATGATGTGCTCTTGTGGAGAGGCGAAAGACGTGGACCACCTGGTCTACTGTCGACTAACGCTGGCGAGGAGGCAACGGTGGCCGACCCTCCACTCTCGCAGTATGCCCGAGCCCATAGGCCCTATGGGATCTCTCGAGGCCTACTTCAAGAGATTAATCACCGACCCACGAGGCTTCGAGGCCTTTCTCCGCGTGACGGACTTCTTCCAGAAGATCTGTCTGCGGTAGCAGCATCCACACCTACGTAGATGTGAGTGCGGACTACAAAGAACCTCCCGATTCCAAGGGACGATTTGGGAAAGAATGAAACTGGGGCACCAGCGGGAACCGGGGACAGACAGAACGCGTAGTGGCCACAAGGCATGATTTGGAGGACGATGTAAAGAGACGACGTACTGTAGAGTAGGTAGCCTTGGCTCACGGCCCTCCACGCCATATACCCTTCGGGAGGTCTGCGGTAAGGGCTCTAGCCCGGCCGCCACGGCGTTAAATACAACAACAACAACAACAACAGCCAGTGATAAACTTGCTCTCGTCCGAAGCCAAGAATACAGAGGCATCTACTACATCTTCAATCTCACCCAATCGCCCCAAAGGAACGTTTCCAATGAACTTTTCTCGGTTTTCCGGCGTGTCCTTCATGCCAATGAAGGATTCGAATCTATGGTTGTAAGCGAATTTGCGAACAGGGGCCTGGAGAAACCCAACTTACAGGCCAGTGCCAGTCAAAAGCGGGCAGATTGAATTCACGCGAATCTTATGCGCACCATACTCGGCCGCCAATCCCTTGGTTGCCTGTGGTGACATTAGCTAAGTGCCTTTCACTCAAATCAATCGCATTCTGCTTACATTGCAGACAGCTCCCTTGGAGGCATTGTACCACACAAGACCTGGCCGGGGACGCAAAGCTCCGATCGAGGAGATGTTCAGCATTACGCCTCCTTCCCCTTGCTTGATGACTCTAGGCATGAACGCCGCGGTTCCGAGGAAGATGCCCTTTACGTTGACGTTGAAAACCCTGTCGAATTCGCTCTCCGTCACCTCAACTGTGGGCTGTGGTAAGAAAGTTGTCAGCGTATTATTCCTCGTGAGTCACAGCTGTGGTCCTAGAAAGACAAGCAGCCCTTCTTACCTTGTTTCTGTAAGTCGTTCCGGCGTTGTTCACCAGACAATCGATTCGCCCGTAGCGCGACTGTGCAACATCCATCAACTTCTCCCAGTCCTCGGCACTTGTGACGTCTGCTTTGTAGAACGAAATCGAATCGGGCACGCTTTGCGCTACTCTTTGCCCGTCGCTCTCGTTGATATCGGTAATGAGCACTTTGGCTCCTTCTTGGGCGAATTTATTGGCAATGCCCTCACCAAAGCCATGTCCTCCGCCTGAAGATTGTCAGAAGGCCCGGCAGTGTGATCTGTAGCAATTGCTTTCTTACCGGTGATGATGACGACTTTGCCAGCCAGTCTTGATCCTGTGTTGCTGTCGCTCATATTGGCTGCTTCTTTCGCGCCAATGTTCAGATGTCAATAAAATTCCTGTTGCAATTTATCAAGATCGTGAGTTGGCTTTTACTGAATACAACCAACTTTGTAATATGTCACAATTATGACCCCTCACTTAAATAACCGTAGAGGTTGTACAGCAAACAGCTTTTATACTGAGACCCCCAACAAGCTCATTGCATCATAAGGAGGCGGGGAGGTGCGGGGGTTAGTGCGCCGGGCAACGAATTCCGTGTGCCGCCACGGCACGGTCCGGCGAAGTCCTTCACGGCTCGGTTATACAACTCATTCTGTATACGTGCAGACTTTCTTTTCGAGCCACTCAACATCAATAATGTGACGGGCGATTCGATAGGTGCATGTTGTCGTACGTAGATCTTGCTTATGCAGCGTGCGACTATTCAGCGCCCATTCCGTCTTTGATAGACATTGGTTCGCTCAGTATCTCATGGAGGGTCGTCTGGGGCATAAGGGGTACGAATTTCAGCAGCGAGTTTCAGGGGTGACTTGAAATATTGGAGCTCACAACTTTCAATTTCAGTTATGGTCACTTTACATGGTGGTTCGCTCTGTTCGAATCATCTTGCCGCATTACATAGTGGTATCGTCGCGGAATCTTCGGGGGCCGCCATGCACCGTTTCTTTGAAGTCTGGGACTGGGGTTTCTGTGTTTAATCAGAAGAAATGGTGACTGGGCAATACCCTGGATCATGGGACAATCGTCGTGTTTAAGTTGCGTGGCTATCAGAATTTCCATACTTCCGACCACATGCACTTACAGAGAAGATAGATTTCACGGATCTGAGTTGGTTGGGCTGCGTTCCTTTTGGACTTTAAGCATTGATACATTAGAGAGTACCAAGACTTAACTTACTTCCAGACCGAGGCAGTAGAGGTTTCTGGCGCTAGTACAGCCGGCTCCAGAGCTCTAAAGAACAAGTTTGTATATACTACCTTAGTTGTCAAAATCCCTTAATATTCAAGAGCAAGATCCCCAAGACTTTATTCATAGTATTTTTGCAGCAACCAAGAAGCATGTGTCAAACTCAACGAGTCAGGTTTCCGAAACCCACTCTCGTTGTCACTTCCGAACCCAGCTTCCGGACGGGAAGGGCGCGCAGGGAGTTGCTGTTCGTCCTAATACGCACGCGTTCTAGAAAGGTTTTGCGCTGCCTCACTCAGTCTCCAGAGAAAATCGTGGGTCTCATCCCATGATCTCCAAAGTTTCATCCCCCTTGCCAACGAAACCACATCCACTGACTTCACGACACCCCAACTCCCCACACGACTAACCCCAACCCCCATATACCCCGCATTATGCTAGGCATTTGAAAAGATAAGCGGCTCCAGCTCGGGGATTGCCCTGTCTATAAGTCCCGACTGCAACAACCGTCCCGCCAAGATACATCTGCGCGGGCCATCCGGTCTGCGGGGGGTGCTCCTTAGCTGAACTCTGTCCGAGGTGTGTTCGGCATCAGGTTTTGGGAGGGAAAAGAATACGGCAGATGCAAGTCCCTCTTCTTGCGGGCGTATGGTCCCGCAGGCCCTGTTCGGAATGTGCTTAAATACCGAGTCCGACTTATTCCACGACTGTAGACCAAATTGCTCTATACTCAGGCTCTCGCCAATTCTTTGTCCCATTCACCACGTACGATGGCTACTATTTCGCAAGCGCCTGCGCTGGGGGTAAACCCAGGCATGACTCAAGGTCTGAAGACATCCACCGAGCATGTCGAACATGTTGAGCACGTAGAAGACAAAGCATCTACCGGCGAAAGGACGAGTTTGCTTGGGCTGAAAAACATTGAGACTGCAGCATATGTGGTGGATCAAGTGAACGCTGATTTCGAGTTGGTCCCAATCATTCTTGACGAGATTCGTCCAAATGAAGTTCTTGTTGAGATGAAGTACAGCGGAGTGTGTATGTCAATTTCGATAGTAACCTGATAACCACATCATGTACAGTCATTGACAGCATTACAGGCCACACCGATATAGTCACACAGCAAGGCGGCCTCCCCTTTGTTGAGTTTCCTGCAATTTTCGGTCACGAGGGAGCTGGCGTAGTCCGTGATATCGGAAGAGACGTCCAAATCAAAGACCTCGCCATTGGTGACGCAGTCCTCCTCTCCTTCAATCACTGCGGGTCATGCAAGACATGCACGAGCGGCCACTCTGCGCTCTGCCCAGACTCCTCAATGATCAACATCAACTCGGTGCGCGTGGGCGACCGCAGCACGCCAGCTCGGCTAGCTTCGGATGGCCGTGCTGTCCGCAGTCAATTTTTCGGGCAGTCGTCGTTCTGCAAGATGTCCGTAGTCAACGAGAGATCAGTGGTGAGGTGTCCGCCGTCGGCAGTCGAACACATGGGTGTATATGCCCCACTCGGATGCGGACTCCAGACCGGCGCCGGAACGGTCATGAACGTCGTCAAGCCGGGCAAAGAAGATTCCATTATCATCTTCGGACTCGGAAGTGTGGGTCTGGCGGCGCTGATGGCGGCACGCTACCTCGAGACCGGACAGATCATTGCGGTCGATATTGTTCCCGAACGCCTCGAGCTTGCAAAGGAGCTCGGAGCCACTCACACCATCAACTCGAGAGAAAGCAGCGACATTGTACAAGAAATCAAGAAGATGAGCAACGGGGGTCCGAAATTTGCTGTAGAATGCACTGGAATCTTGAAGGTCATTGAAGACATGATCGCATGCATTGGCTCCCTGGGTTTAGCCGTTCAGGTCGGGGTACCGCCTCCAGGAGCAGCAATCAAGCTCGACCCGCAAGAGTTCCTGATTGGCAACAAGAGATATATTGGCATTATTGAGGGAGATGCGGTTCCAGCCGAGTTCATTCCTCGACTGATCTCCATGCACCAAGAAGGCAGATTCCCCATCGACCGGTTGGCCGGGTTTTACCCAGCATCACAGTTGAATCATGCCATACAAGAAATGGCTGCCGGAAAGGTAAGTTGTTCAAGTACTCCCCCAATTTCTCCTTCAACTAACGAAACTTTAAAAGGTCATCAAGCCAGTGATTCAATGGAGCTAGGACAACATTCACTATGGCACACGCGATTAGCTGAGGTAGCAGACAAAGCAAATGACACGGAATTCAAAGGCCTCGAACAAATGATCGTCAGTACGGTACATAGACCTGGTATAGAGATTTCAACTTCGAGTGGTTCTAGATTTGGTTTCACATTTTCTTTCACTGGGTCCCGCGGTTAGCTGTCAACTATCATGAAAGTTCCAGGTCAGTTGGCTTGTCGATCCCACCTCCACTGATTCAAACCGTGGTGCGAAGCGTGCCAAGTCATTCTCTGGGGAATTGATCCCGCTTACACACCGAAAACATTTATCTGAACCAAACCCCGTCCGTAATCCCATTCGGTTCCGGTTAGCTTAGAAAGATCATTGTAATTTGTGCCGTGTCTCAGCATTAGATCATGAAGCGCCACGGAACGCCTAATGGTGCTATGGCAATCGGTCTCACTTCAGCCCCGTCGTTGGTAGATGGAGTTATACCGCAAGCGGCCCTCGACATTTTTGCGGCGCATTTCTGAAGTGTCAACAAGTTGTCTGCTTTCACGTGGCCTTTGGGAGTGTAGTTCCCGCTAACTGTGTCCACGACGGCGGGATCGGTCCGGTCCCGTACCGGAGACGCCGTTTCACGACTGCCGGGAGCCAGAGTACCTATCTGCTTCTGTGAAAGTTTTATTTCTCTTTCATTGTCTGGCTTAATGAATTCTTGGGAAAATGTCGCGTACTGGTATGCATCGATGGAAACATTCCTGCGAGACTACATGTATTATTAAAATCATGATGATTTATCAAGTAAAGCCAAGCCACCTTATCTAAATCAGTATGAGTGACAAACATCAATGTGTAGCCACCAGTAGTACGGGTGCCGACTTGACCGTCATCGGTGGTGGTCGAGTGAAGTCTACATCGTCGGACCCCAAAAAGTTCAACTTCGCGATAGCCATGTTCGTTTTCTTCTTCATTTCGTCCCCGTAGATCCACAGATGCTTCGTCTTCTTCGTGCTCTTTCTGATGTGTTCCTCCGCCTTCCTCTGAAGGATGGGTGCGGTCTGCAACGGGGGAATCCAACTTTCTTCGTCCGCCGGGTCATGATGCAGACAAGCCGCCAGCACAATTGACTTGGGGGCGTCTTGTTTCCCAAAGTCTCCCACCAGCTCGTTCCATCTGTGAGCTGCAAGAGCAGAGGCTTTGATGTTTGACGTAAAACCATGCGCAGCTTCCCATTTTGGCAGCCGACAGTGCAATCCCCATTGGTCTTGTTCGGCGTCCACATCCCACCCGCGACAGATGACAACCTTGCCGCGAACTTCCCCAAGTCGCGGCCATTTCTTTCCCGTATACAAGTCTTTGTCTTTTTTCATATCCTTCTTGAACTCTCGGTTGAAGTGATCCGGCACCTCGTCGTACTCGATTCTGTAGCCCTCGGACCAGGGCTTCCCGGCCTCATATACCGCGGAAGCAGACGAGAAACTGAGCATGACCATGACAACCTCCCGATCATTATCTTCCAAGAAATCCTTGACATCATCGAGAACGTCATCGAGTTGCTTATCAAGAACCAGCGGTCCGTGTCGTAGCCTGCGTTCTTCGTCGCAGCGTAGGTCCAGCAAGCGGATGCCGCTCTTCAGCTGAGCTCGGATACTGTCCCTGTGACACTTACTCATGTCGAGAACCCGTGTTTTTAGACCCTTGTCGCTGATTTCCGGCTCAACTTCGAGGTTCCCGACATCGTTGATCCAATAGATTGAGGCGCTGCTGCAACGAGTTCCGGGCAGTGTCAAATCTTTCAAGCACAGGTCGTCAGAGAGATGCTTCATCCAAGAATCGGCTCGAAATTCGGGTCTGAAGCACATTAGGCCAGTTTAAGCGATGCCAAAATTCGAGAACACTTTACATACTTGGGTCTCATAATGCTTTGCTTTTTCACAAAGTCGAAGCCAGCAGTTGAGGCCACGAAACTCGAATAACTATTGACATTCAGCTGGAGTCACTGGGGCTTTCAACTCGGGTACTGTAGGCTCACTCATTCGCTTTCATTTTCTTGTTATGATATTCAAACTTTCCTTCAATAATGACATAGTAGTCGTAAAGATGTGTACCGTAGGTAAAGTTCCAGGAGTTTCGTCTGTTGGTTGAAATGGATAAGGCACCTCGTTTAATCCATCGCGCTCCTGGCAGAAGACTGGCAGATCCACCATCTGTAGCCCAAAGTACAACGTGGTACTGAGGATGCTGTGCCTGCAAAGTCTGCAGCTCGAGCTGCAAAGGGTTTTGCGAGGTTGATGGGGATGCGACGGCCATGATGAATTCGAGTGTTCCACTTCAAAGACCAACCTAGAATGCTCTTGCAATTGAGGAATGAGCCATTGCTTGACCTTCGAGACAGATATATATAGATTATCTCACGCCTTCCATGTTTTCTTTGATCTCTCACGTTACACTGGTCTGGCTGAGGAAAGAAAAAAGTCCGGGGTAAGACAAACTGCTGCCTGCATTCGTCTAGCTGAACTGAGTACGCCAAGAAGCCAGGCCATTTTTTACCATGCGGCTGAACAGTAGTGAGACAAACGATTGCCAAAGTCTTCTCCAGGCCGTTTCCGGTATAAAGTACCCGTGGTTCCGGCAGATACGCACGCGACCAAAGACAAGATAATTAGTGTCCGGATGGCGGGGGTGCTGGCTTACGGCTATTTCTTTAGTAGCTACTACAAAATAGAGACTGGGACATTACCATGGGCTCGCAGCACCAGACTTATTCCACAACTTGCTTTCAATATCTTCGTTGCGCTTGCTTGACATGGAAGACGCATACATTAGCCCACCGTCTTCAGCGGGTGCCAGAACCTTCAACGACGTGACGAGAAGACGGCCTGACTTGGGCACAATTGTCACCTTTCAGCGGATCGATAAACTGATTCCAGCGTCAACTACTGACAAAAGTATCAGTGCAGTGCCTATCCCACTTTCGGGTAGCTGTGTGGGAACCATTGGTCTTGCCGTACTGTTGAAGAAATGCGGCATCGACGCCAACGCTGGAATGGACGATGTTTCCATGGCCACAATCAAAGAGGGCATGATTTCCATTGGTCTGGCCAAGCAGTTTGACATCTGGAGCTCCCCTTCCTCTAAGCTTCTTGACTATGATCTCACTCTCTTGGAGTACGTTTATCAAGTATCGAAACTGACAAACGATCCCGAGTTGAATGTCAGAATTTACTATGGTCTGAAAAAGGATCACGACGAACAGACCATCCAGGACGTGTACAGATCTGGAAATTTTGTCATCAAGGTTTTACAGATGAGAAGAGATAAATCTCAAGTTATTCAATCCCTCAGAGTAATGACGTCGCTCCCAGAGGATCCAGGCAGCGGCATCCTTGGTATAGGCAGTCTAGGCTCTCAGACACTCGGGGACTTGAGAGACAAAATTACCGCCATGCAAGCTGCTCTCTCTTATGTTCACTTCAAATACTCATGTCTAACGCCCCATTCAAGGTCAAGGCTCGCCACCAAACACCAATTCTGTCTGCCTGATGAGACTCCTCTCCATGACACGACGGCGTTCGAAGACTACGTCAATCTCCTAGTAAGCCCGTGTCAACTACTGTCGAATTCCTTGCACTGACAATCATCTTCAAGGACGAGACCTGTCCTTACGAGAATAGCGTACCATCGATCAAACTAAGATTCAAAGACACCTCATCATCTCTCATTGACGAAGACAAGTCGAAGCTAGCATTGGCAGCTTCAGGTGGCAATCAACAAGCCCAGAAAGCCGAGGTACGGAATTCTTTGAGTACGTCCGAAACTAGTTGACTAACAGCTATTCAATCTTGTAGAACTCCAAGTAAGACCCAGGTGCTTCTCTTCGAATTAACTACCTCGACTCCGAACTTGGTTGATGTTTCTGACCGCAACGTCTAGTATCTCTCCGTCATCGTTAGATGAGATACAGTGGAGGCGGGTCATCAAGAACTGTCAAGTCATGCATGGCTGGTACATTGACCGAGCGAACAACGAAGCCAAGATGGCACCAAAGCCAGGTTTGTCCGCGATTTTCGACTTTTCCAGCTTCTGCTAACGACTTTCCAGCATTCCGTCTTCGGCCAGGTCTGAATCTAGAACTAGATAGTACGGAAGGAGCCGCTGCCGGAGACGCCATTCCCAACTACGGCGTGACTGACGGCACCCAAATTGACGTTGTCACCGCCGAGACCGATATCCGAAATTCACTGGTTCGCAACAATTTCGAAAAGTCTTCCATAGATAGCAAGATGGCCATTGGCTACGCGGGAGTCGGTGTCAGCGTAGCCGCTACGTCGTCCACTGAGTCCCAGAGTGCGCAGTCGGCGAAGAACAAATCATCTACCAAAGAAAATATTGGTAAATACAAGGTGAGCAACAAGTTCTTGTGAAGTATTTACGCACAGCTCACAACCTCCAAGATTCCTCGGGTCACTCTGTTCCTTAACGCAGATGATCTCGTTCCAACCCGAGAATTCATAGAGAACATCGAAAAGATCAAGAAGCAAGCAGACGTAACGGATATCCGCAAATTCCACGAAAGATTCGGTGTGTTATAGCCGAAGACTCCTTCTCATACGCAGTGTAACTGAGTTTCCACAGGAAAATTCTTCTGTCATCAGGTGATTCTTGGGGGAATGTTGCTTTCGACAAAGACTCTGATTGGGAACGAAAGGGTTGATGAGGAAAAGCAGAGATGCGATTTCAAGCGGGCCATCGGGATGTCAATATCCTCGGTAACCATTCCTTTTGCGATTATTTGCATGCCAAATACTATCGGATACTGACAACGTACTACAGCCAGTAGAAGTTGCCATTGGGGCAGACTCAAAGAGGGAAAACACCTCAGGTGCCAACCAAAACGTGAACCGTAGCTACATGGATAACAGCGACAGTGTTGTATTCGAGGCTGTAGGCGGGAATACCATTCTGGCTTCGAAGTGCGGGAACCTGCCCTTGAACGCTCCATCACAAATCTAACGTTGCTACAGTCCTGCGCAGTGGTGCGCAACCGTTGGAGACCACAACAACTGGCGAGTTATTGGGGTACGAAGTCTATCCCTTAGCAGCATCCGATTCATCTTCTACAAGGCTAATTCATCGCAGAGAGCGGATATGAAGCCAATTCTCGAGTCGTTGGCGGAATGCGGAGAGCCTCGATGCGATGATGCTGCTAAAGTGTTCGCTGAGGCATCTCAGGTTCCCTTCACGAAATTCATCGACATCCCAAAGTCTACCAAGATCATTGCGCAGTTTCGATTTAAGAGAAGATCTACAAACGAGGACAGGACGCACTATCTTCGTCATAACATCCATGCCCTCATTACGCCCACATCGACAACCGAGCGAAGGAATATGCCAGAGAAGTGAGGTGCCGTATCACATGTCGCTTTTGAGTCATTTACTGATACGAATGCCCTTGTTAGATTCCAGGGACCTCGAGTTGAACCTTATGACCATACATGGAAAGACGAAGATGGTATATGGACCATAGCTCCAGTTTTGGACGCGAGAGCAGCTTGTCAAGGCCTAACGCAACTCGTCGACGGTTCTATGGTCACCATTCGCTCTGGGGGAGATTCGCAAACCCCGTGGTTTCTCTCCGTCCTCCGGACTTCGGCAGGGATCTTTGTTCCCTGCATCACGACTTCGGAGCAATTCGTATGGAGGATTCGAGAGGTTCTCCGGCCCAACTCGACCAAGAGCACCATTCCTAGACAATCATCTTTCAAACCGCTCAGGCATGACGCACGCCTGTGCTTGACCTTTGAGTTTCTCGACAACCCCCGAGGCTATCGAGACTTCAAAGACGACGACCGCGGCTTCCGCAATGTAGAGTATCCGGACAGCGACACCGGTCGATTGTTCCTCGTTGAATCCACAAAGAGGTCAGACACATGGCCGGACCGCAGAGTGCTTCTTCTTGCAGACGGAAGCGTCTTTAGGTCTGAATCTTGTGCCAGAATCATGGACCTGGATGACGCCGAGATATCTGTAAGGATTGCGCACTTTAACATCGACGTTCGTGGTAAGTCATCGTCCGGATTATCGAGTCTGCTCAATTGGACGGCTGACTTGCGAATATTTACTTACGCTGCATAGACTCAACGGATGATGCCTATGATATCTTGCAGAAAGACGGTAATTCCATTCAGGCGAGGCATGAGGAGCAGCAAAGGAAGTTGAAAACTGGGGATCAGGGGGCCTCAGCGTGAAATACATGGTGTCTATTCACGTTGGCTGAATACGTACGGTTCAGATGGTGGATCAATCTAGGTCTACTCAAGGTAACTATGAACTTTGTAGAGAGAAGTTATGTATTTCTTGTGTGTTTGTTAAGACTTATCGTCGGCCGCCGTGATGCCTGTTACACTGTGTGATCGAAACCTAGCATAAAGCATTCTGAATTCTAGTATAACTTCTTATTTCTTCATCATGCAATAAAAGCAACCCATGCCAAAATCACCTAAGCCCTCAAAGTTTCCGCCAGGCCATTCCATATCTTGCTTTTTTGTTCGCATGCTACAGTCCGGGCCGCTGGAAGTAACATCAAACTTGGTTCAAAGTCATGGGAGGTGAGCTCAAGAGGGTCGGAACCTTACAAGAAGAATTTGCACGTGGCACCTTCGCCTAGCCGAGCAGACTTGACTTGTCTCCCCCAGTCCCAGCTTGGGTACGTCTCCAGGCCGTCCCAGAAACAGGCCCACCAGCAGTCGCCTTTCCAGTCATTTTCGGTACAGAGATGAACAGAGATGCAAGACTCGCCCTCCCTCTTTTCTTTCGCTGCTCTGAAGGGGGTTGCATGGGTCTCATCTGTCAGGGTTTTGGAGACGTATGTGGTCAGCGATGGGGGAAGGAGATTGTTCTAGTGTTCTTTCTCAAGTATAGATGCCTGCGTAGGATTGATCACAGTAGCGTAAAGAAATCAGCTGCAGCGACCATGCAATTCAGGACGAGGGCGTAGATAGGTAGTTTGAGGGCCAACATCGTTTTGGTGGTAATCTGTTGAGAAAGGAGCGCCTTGGGATTTCTCGGCGCAGTGGAATCGTGAATCAGAAGGATCAACACGATGTATGGTTACTGGCACTACGATCTGATTTTATTCTTGTTTCCTCGTCACCTTAGACGTCTTGAACATGACACCTTTCATGTCTGGTGTCTTTGAGCGTTGGCAGTCAATATAAAGAAGCATCCGTCGATATTACAAAGCGCAGAAATGGCACAAAGAGACGAGATAGCTTGGTAGTCCCTCGGAAGCGCACGACTTCGGAGAGAGCAAACTTAGCACCAGGGATGCCTCTGACTTCAAAGGCATTGCTCCACCGGCTGCGAGGGAGGGCTCGACGATGTCAAATCCGGATAGTAATACATAATGCGGTGTAGACATCATAGTCATGAGAAGCGATGAACAGACCTTCCTCCCGCTGGGCTTCTCTCTCTTCGCAGCGATGAGATGAGTGGTTGAGGAAGCCTAGAAGCAAGATTCTGGCTATTCCGAGACCTTGTGACATCAATCATTCAAGCCCACGAGCGCAACTCCTCCCCAAGCACAAGCGTAAGCACAAGTGAAGATCTAAGCGGTTTTTACTCCTACGTCCTCATCTACTCGGCAAGGAAAGATGTTTCCGACAGTATCATCGCAGCACTAGATCACGGCACTGATATTAACGCCCACGACGGCATCGACAAGTCTCTCGCCGCCGACAATATTGAAGTCTCTAGGGGCCAGATCCGTCAACTGCCAGTTGGGCTTACAAAGTCGCAACCTTCTCGGACCGCTAGTTTGTGAGGCAGTCGACTTGGAAAATTGCACTTTCGCATTCCTCCGAGGCTTACTCCTCAAAATAGCCTCATCTGAGACCATCACTCTTGCCACTCCATCAACACAATCTGATGATCCCCCATCATGGACGCTTGTCTCAAAGAAAACCTACAGATACGAGATGTTTCCCAATCCCTAGGTCTCAAATGGAATATCTCTTGGGTCATTTCCATGTAATTTCAGCCAAACCGAACTCGAGCCGTGCCACCACCTCCAAGTAAGCCATCAAGCCACCACAATTTAAGCCCTCGATGCAAGCTCACGATGTTCTGATAGGACGCCTCTCTCTCACTCAAACTGTGATGATTGGTCGCGAAGTTTCAGCTCTTAAAGCTAAGCCACCTCCACACAACGCTCGTCATACCCCAACTCTTATAGAGAAGTGGAACACCTCGCGGAGACTTTTTGGCAACGTCGTGTGATAAAGTTGGCTTCTCGGGTTCTGTCATATAATTGGCTGTCATTCCTATACCGCTTTGCAAGTTAAGCTTACATGACTACAATGTCAAGTAGCCTGTTTCTATGAGATGAGGGTTAGAAGAGCCGGCTGTAGGGCTGACGGGGCATTACCCGAAGGCTGAGATGCGGAAAGCCAAGTCGGGCTGTGTCAGTTTACGAGAAGATGTCGGTGAGAAGGTTGTAAGGCGAAATCTCGTGAGGGGTTTGGGTTCGGAGTCCTAGGCCACGTTATGTGAGATTTCGAAGAGCTGGAGGAAAGTCACGATGCTTTCGAGTTTGCCTCATACCCATCGGCCGCAGTGACTATTTAGATGAAGGGTCTCATAGGATTTCTCATCGTATGAAAGGAAAGTATAAATATCGAAAGGGATTCCAATCTTCCTCGATGGATATCCGCCCTCATCATCACCATCTCAAGCTCACTGATCACCACCAAACAATCAGATCCAACAGTCCTCAAACCCATCCAACATCAACCCCCAATCCTCACAACACCTCCATCAAAATGTTCCCCAAAACAGTCCTCGCCCTCCTCCTGACCCTCACCTCCGCCCTCGCCTCCCCCCTCTCACCCCGCCAAGCATCAACCTACTTCACCCCCTCAGCAACCTACACCTACAACACCCGCACCGGCTCCATCTCCCCAACCTACGGCACCGGCGTCGTCTCCAAATCAACCTCCAACGCAGGCAACGACCTCACCGCCCTCCTGACCTTCACCTACCCGCCCGCCGCCGCCGGCAAAAAGTGCCAGTTCTACTTCTACCTCGACGCCGCCACCTCCAGCGTCGCGGGCAGCCGCAAGCTCGACGTCTTCACCTCCCTGAAGCCAGCCCCCGCGGCCGGGTCGCCCGGCTGGGGCGCCGGAGGGCCGGGGAACCAGAGGAATGTGAATATCGGGCGGTTGTCTGTTGTTTCGGGAGGGTATGCCACGTGGGATGCTACGTACGGGGCGTACCTGACCGCGCCGACGGATTGCAAAGCCCCTGGAACCGTGGAGGGGTTCGAGCTGGTGGGCGTGAATGACAATGACTATGTTTCGTGGAACACGCAGGTTTCTGGCGCTCGGATTGCTTACTTCTGAGCCACTGTCTTCGAGGGATTAAGGTGAAGGACGAGGGTGGGGGCAACGTATTCGATTCTTCTTCGCTCATTTGGCCTTCTTGTCACATTATTGATACTTGTCGGAGATGATTTGGTCCAGGCTTGCGTTGTAGAGAAGGGCGTCAACCATGCTTTCCATTACACTCCTTATGCCATATCATACATTTGCCGCTCAATTATTGCTTCAAAATTTTGTGTGGTTGTCAACCTACTTGTCATGAAGTGGCCCAACCGTGATTGTCAGGCCCAACATCTACTCAGAGTCTTCTGCGATGATATTCCACGCACAATTCAGCGCACTCGAACTTTTCCATTGCCATGCATGAAGTCCCGAATCTACACCTCCACACAGGCGGCATCTTTTTTGGCACCCTTACTCATACCTAGTACACCATCCGTCTAGCGGCATCATATCCCCCACGCGTTCGCCATGGCCTTGAGAACCTTGCAGTCCCCCTTGTGCTTCTTCCAGTCCTCCTTCTGGCAGTCCTATATCGTCAATCAACGTTAGCACATCCGCACTAACAATATCGCGTTCGGCAACCCATAAGTAAGAGATGCGAGAAACAACGCAAGAACGCAAAACTCACCTTGCCACAATACCTCGCAACAACACAAGCAGTACAACTCTTTAACGTCCCCCCTTCCCCACCATCAATCTCCCCAACCCCCTTCCCACATCCAGCACAACTCCTCAACCACCGTCCCCCATCCTCCCTCACCCTCGCCCCCAGCTCCCCAATCTGTTCCAGCCCGCCAGGAATATACTTCACCCCCGTCCCCTTCCCCTCCGGCACCCTCACAAACCCCCTCTTCCCGCCCTTGGGCGCAGTCCTCACCCCGCGCGGCACAACAATCGTCCACCCGCCCTTGACAGGCCGCAAATCGATACCGCGGTCCTCAAAGGTGACGGCGAACTCCGTCTGCTGACGATCGACGACCACGAGCGTGGGTTTGGTAATGGTCATGTTTTGTTTGACCTGTGCTATCAGGAACCATTCTTCGCGGGCGTCGTGAGCGGAGGGGGATGGTCTCGTGACTGCCGTCGATGAGGAGGCGGAAGAGGCAGAGGCGGAGGCTTTAGCGGAGCCGGAGCCCGATTGGGAGTCCGTGTAGGATGGCGGGTCGGAAGGGGCCGGCGCGGGCGGCGCGTAGGAGGGCGGTTCCGAGGATGCGGCGTAGGAGGGTGGATCGGCGGCGCCGGGTTCCTCGATGGGGAGGCCCTCGAAGATTGGGAAGATTGCCTCGTTGGCAAAGTCCGGGATCGGCATGATTGCGGGCAGTTCTACACTTTTCCGCAGGGATTACGACAGGAAAAATGAGACCAAGTAAAAGGCGAGGAAATAGAATGCCTAATCAATGTGAGGAGGTAAGGCCGGAATGAGCTAATCTTGGAAAATGTAGTCAATAACGGATTGTGAGTTTCAGTGAGAGGTTGGATGAGTGAGTATGAGAGTGAGTATGAGAGTGAACGATTGATTGGTGGGGGTGTGAGATTGATTGCACTGAGAGAGGGATCGTCCATGAGCCTCTTCGGCGATGTGATTGGCCGAGTCCATCTCAGGCGGAGAAACTTCAAACACCAAATCGCGAAACGCACACCACCCGTAGAGCAGAGCCCGTAGAGAATGGCCAACCGGAGAAACGTCGGCCAAAACGATGGAGGGGACTTGGCATTGTCCCCAAAACCTTCTCGAACGTCTAGGCGACCGTTATGCCATGGCTGCTTTTGCTGAAACGGCTGCCGCTGCAGGACAGGACGACAGCTTTCGAGATGACGTAGACTGTAACGTCCGGTCCGAGGGGAGGGAAACCGTCCGATATGCTGAACCGTGTGAAGCAGCAGTGCGCCAGCACCCAGAGTTTGCGAGTGCAGATGACAGGTCCCGCATCTGCGCCCAGCAAGGGCCTCAACGTCGGATGAGATGGCGTCATGGCGTTGGTGGACTTCTATGCGGTCAGTTTCAGCATGTGCCCGATATGGCTGGCCTGCTCTGAGCAAGAAGAAATAGACACTGCGTGCGCGATTTTCCATCATCATCGTTTTGACAAAGTGTCTATTCCAGGAACCTATGTGTGTCGTAGTATAGCTACATTATAGACTATAGTGACCCCTCACTATCGTGAGCTGTCCAGTGCCCATTACGACCGCAGGGGAGTGTGAAGAATGGAACCAAATCCAACAACCGCATTGCCCAATGCTCATTTTGGAGCCGATGTACAATAGTCAACGCCAAGCAAATACAATCCTAGGCCGTCCTTGGCCACGACGCCGGTATATCCCTATTGCGAGCATGACTCGCCAGCAGGACCGTAGTGCTGCTACATGTCAAGAAAATGACGCAGAAAATTCAAGTCGTTATGTTGCGCTCGTCAACCCATTTACGCTCCGAAACTCATCCAGCCAAATGTGCCGGCCGCACATCCTAGAACCAAGAAGGTCAGGATGCCAGCGCCGGCCTTATCTGCCGTTGTGACTGGCGTTTCTGTGCCGAGTAGATTGTCCGAGTGACTGCCGGCGTTGGGGTCTCCCTTAGAGATACCACCAGTAGTGTTTGTTACTGGTGCCTTGACGTTGCCAATGAGCAGAGATGATACGGCGCCGAGCACGTTCATCTGCTGACCAGCTCCCTTGGTGCCGTCGTACACGCCAGAGCTCCATTTGAAGCCGCACGTCCGTTGGTTGTCCTGCCCTGTGCACTGCTTGATGGCCGCATCCGCTGACGTTTTTAGAACCGGGAGAATTTTGTCGGCAGTGTATGGTGCAATCTGTGTTGTGACCGACATCCATCGAGCGACGTAGCCCTTGAAACTCAGCATGTCGGTTGTGCAGGTATTGTGCTCCTCGCAAGCAATCTCGAATGCAATGTTGTTGGGGAAGAAGATTTTCAAAGTTCCCTCGATAAGGCCATCCAATCGTGTCTTCCACGCCTCGGCGCCGTCCGTCTGGGTACATGTTAATATCAAGCTCATCTAGGTATACCAAGTAGAAGCCACTTACGTAATTGTACATCATGGCAGCACCAAGGATAAAGACGCCGTTGTTGTATGAGAACTGAGCCTTGTTGATATCGGTACAGTTCTGTTCGACGTGGCCACCATCGTAAATGTTGTAATCGGCATCGATGAAACCGACGGATGTCATCCAGTCCCAGGTCTTCTCGGCCCAGTTGGCGTATGTCTCATTCTTGGTGTACCGGGCCAGTCTGGCACCAATGTTGAAGAAGCAGCCGTTTGCAATACCTATATTCAGTCAGCGCTGCGTTCGAAGGCGGGCGTGAGTATCAGTATTACTGTTCTTGTAGTTGTATCCGTTATTGGAGAGAGGAATCTGCCAGCGGAGACCACCCCCGCAAGTGTTGTCGTGTCTGTCGGGACTAGCCATGGTGTTGAAGACGGCTTGGGCAAGGGCCAACCATTGGGCCTCATCCTCAGGCGGGTTAGGGAAGCCGTCTTCGGCGGCAGTCATGGCAGACATGCCCCAAAACCCTTGATCGTCGTTACCCAGCGATGCAGTGTAGTTGGGAGGCATGTAATCGCGGTCAGGTCCGACCTGGTGCAGCATGGCCTGCATGACAACGTCGTTGTAGGTAGAATCGCCAGTCAAGTGCCAGTAATCGATCATAGTTCCCCACATGGCACCAGCTTCCCACCAGTAGTAATCGCCCGCTGGCGGAGGACCAGGCAGGATACCGGGCGTATGACCAGTCAAGTTGCCATCGTAGAAACTCATTAGGTCGTAGGCGAGACCTTTGGTGGTGGCTTTGATGTCATCTGGGCACGGCGTTAGTACGACGGTAGACCGAGGCCTGTCGAATGCTTGACTTGAGGGATGAATGTACCGTCGGAAGCGATGGAGTATGCGGCGCTGGCGAAACCACTCGAGACGAGAAGCGCTGTCGCAGCGCGGGTTACGGTAGAGAATTTCATGGTGATTATCGTCGAGCGACGTTTGCGTTGATTTGAAGCGAGTGACTGGTCGAGACGGGAAAATAAGTGACGGGAAATTGAGAATGAAAGTCAATTCCCTCGGTGCGGCGCGATCGGACTAGGGTCGTGTCATGCGAGTATTTCGAAGTAAGTCGAACGAGGACAATGGGCGAAGAATCGTGCAAGTACCAGCCGTCGAATATCGCTGCTGGATGTCGTCGGTGTGGGTTTCTGAGAACAGGCAAAACGAGGGTTGGAGGAGAAAGGATAGGAGATGAACAGGGACGTTGAGGGAGAAGGAAGACGAGGAGGGAGGGCCGGGAAGAAGGAGTGACAGCGAAGGGGTGTGGTGTGGTGTACACTACCACCTAAGGTAAGGTGAGTGACTAGGTAGTAAAAGTCAGGTAGCTGGGACGCCGGGCGAGTGCAAGTGCGAGAAATGGAAAGAGGATGCCGGGATGGTGGCTGTACCAGGGACATGGAGGACGGGCAGTTATGCGGTGGTGGGCAAGGGTCGCGTCAAGTTACGGTACATTTACATTATTCTACATGCCTGGGGAGTTAGTAGGAAGGAGAAAGCGGCGTTGTAAGGTTGGGCAGCGGGAATAAATCGGCAGCGCCAACTCAGGTTTTCGCTGTCGCAGGAATGCGAATTGGAAAACAATGACCAACGCCTTTCCTCGTCCACCGATCGTCGAGCGTTGGCTGGTGGCTGCGCCGGCAATGTGACGTCCATGAAGTGTTGTTTGTTCGTACGGATATTCGTCCGGATACTCGGGTGCCAATGCATCCGACAGCGATACCATAGGATTCGTAGCGTCAGTTCCTGTGCTTCCGTGACGGCAATTCGTGCAGTGCCCAGGCGCGCCAAGTCGCCAGCGTGGAAAACAAGCAAATTCCAAGTTTTCCAGCGTCTTGTCCCGTGGTCTTGGCGATCCAGGGACAGGGCCCGAATGCCAAGAGACTGGGGGCATCCGTACGAACGCTGCCACACTGCGTCAAGGCCTAATCCAATATGTCTTAGCCGTTGAGCGTGTTTTTTGTTCATGGTGATCAATCCCTGTGTAAGTCATTGGGTACTGTCGAGGCATTATGGCACATTTTGGACAGGAGAGTCTACTCTCTTCGGCTCTTCCTCGTATCCATACGATGCTTGACAAGTACCGGTACTTCCAGCGAAATGGACGGCGTTGTGAGAGGGAGCAGTGGCGCGCCGCCAACTTCGCTCCATGGCAGGACAACAAGCCCAAGGGGGAAACCCCCTGATTCAAGGTCACGAGTGGAGTCACGTGATATGCGCCTCAACCAATCGAAGTAACAGTTGAAGGGTGGAGTGCGCGGCCTTCCCTGCTTGGCCCCCCTTTTCCTGAATGATGAATTGCGGGCCTCGCCTGGTCCTGACGAGGTTATAGGCGGATGGAAATAGAGTGCCTTTTTTGAGTTGCTGCTGTCTCCGTCATTGCCGTCCCATCCATGGTCCAGACAAACTGTGCTGCTTTATTCAATTCTCCCCAGGCTCTCACACACTGCAGCGCTTACAACAGAACCGCTCGAGTTCCCATCTCCCAATCAACGAATGGTCACAACCAATCCTTCTCGGGAACACAAACCACTACAAACACATCCATCCAGCCGCCAAGGCATTCTATCCAAAGAACAAGCTTTTCGTCACCCAGATCCTTTTCTCCTCGGGTCCTTGGCTCTGCTAGCTCCCTTGCTGCCCAGCACCGCCCCCCTCGTGTCGCCCATGTCCAAATGACAAATGGCCGCCCTCCCGCGATCTACGCGCCTGGGCATTCCCTTGGCAAGGGATTGCAGAACACGGCGCTGGGGCCATCCAGTTGTGCCCTTCAGACCCCTTCCTCCGAGCTGTTCGGCGCCTCTTGACCAATGTTCAAGGGAAAAGTTTGCTCGTTGCAACTCGACGACTCGTGCTTCGGTCCATGCACACTTCTAGAATGCTCAAATTCCATCTGAGATGCCTTTCCCTTGCTGCCCTGCATGCTGCGAACCTCGGACGGCGGCAAGCACAGAGGGAATGAAGCCGTCATATGCGCGCACCGACAGCGTGGCTCTGCTGACGCTATACATCCGATGCTTTCGCAGGCGAAAAGGGGCTGGCTGGCTGACTGACCTCACCTCATCAAGCTGATCGTCTTCAGCAATGGCTTGTGCCTTTGATACCTAGTCTTAACAAAATGACAATCAGCATGGAACATCTCTTTGCCAAGCCGAACCGGCTTCGACGAACGCCCAGTAGGGCTGAACCAGTCTACCTATCCCAATCAACTCTAGATCTCCCAGTCGCCAAGACTGGGCTACTATGCGCCCTCCCGCTGCTCAAGAAGTCTTGGAGTCTTGGACGTCCTGTCACATGTGGCATTCCACTGATGAAGAGCCCGACACGGGCCTCTTGTGACAACGTCAAATCTTCGATTTGGGTCAACCGAACTCGACTCTGCACCGCCCCTCCGCACTCCACTACGAATCGGCAGCACTCTTCCGTCCCCAGAGGCCCTGGTGAAAGCTCCCCGCAGAGACAATGACTGGAAGTTTGGAACCAGAGAGGACATTGGGGCCCGTTCCCTGTGAATGTAACTCTGTGCCGAACCTGTTTTCCAGAGGGCAACGCACCTTGCCATATTCTGGCTTCGTGGTGTAGTTAGGATAATTTGCATTGGCATCTGCGATTTCGAATGCATCAAGGCTCTCGGCCCCAAGACTTGGGAAAGAAAACAGTCAACGAGCCTGGACAGCCCATCATTGACAAGCGGGAAGCACAAGCTATGGGGCTTGCGTGTAAACCTGCACGCTATATAATGCGTTGTTGCACCCAAAGCTTCCAACCAATAACAAGCCTTGTTGGCTAAGTGGTATAGCGTCTCACTAGTACTAGTGACATGAGAAGATCGGCGGTTCGATTCCGCCACGAGGCATTCCTTTTGGTTATTTGACGTCATCCGTCTTTTTGTTTTCTTCGAAAACGGCGTATGTGATTCAAAGGTCTGTCTTTATTTCATATTACACGTTTCTATCTAATACTCGAAGATTTCGCGGGAGAAACAACTCTCTAGCACTTCGTGTAGAGTGGACTTTGATGTTGGGTATAGAGGAGGGATACATATCAGATACCCAGAGACCCATGCGCCTCACTGAACAGAACTCAAAGCGATGTGCTATCAACAACATCAACCTCACTCGCCCTAGAACAACTCGTGAACAACAAAAAAGCACCATGTATATATATTATTGCAAATAACTATTTGAGACAAGTCCAGCTCAAAGTCCCTGCGCAGCTGCCCTCGAATCCCCTCGCACATGATCACGCTTAAGTCGTCATCCCCTCGTTCTCCTTCCCCTCCTCCTCGCCTCCAATCTTCGTCTTGATCATCTCGTACAAGATATCCGTCCTCATCGTATACTTCGTCCCCTTGACAACATCATCACCAGAGTGATAGAGCCGGCTGTGCTGAAAGATCAGCACCCGGCCCGCCTTGGGATCAACATCAACCTTCCTCTTCTCATCCCCCGACAAAAACGACGTTGCGCCTCCAACCAAGTCAGCGGCACTGTCCTTTTCTGCCTCAGCGACAGAGTCGTTCAGGTATAGATGAACAGTATAATGCGTCCGGAACACGGTCCCGTCCTCTGCTTCTTCCCCATAGGGCCCGTCGCAATGCGCTAATCATCAAAGTCAGCAAACGCGACACTATGCCAAAGCAGGGGAAGGGGATGATCAACTCACGTCTAAAAAACTGCCCCTTTTGATACTTCAAAAACCTCATCCGCTTATTAAACCTCTTAAACACCCACCTCGTCTCGAACCCCCTCTCAGGCCTCCTCACCCCTTCCATCCCACTCAACTGCGCCTCCAGCCCCGGCGCAAGCCTACACCGATCCCACAACCGATCAACAACCTCCTGCTGGTCCCAGATAATCCGGTCGCTATTCCGGTACTCGGGCTCCAAAATCTCCCACCCAGGGCCCATATTCACCATGGCCGGCCGCCACGGCTCGTCCTTGTCCGGGTCCGGGCCGCGGTCTGTGGCGGAGGCCTCGGCCATGCGGAGAAGCTGGGCGCATTCGGCGGGGGTGAGGACGTTGTCTAGGATGACGGCGTAGAGGGGCCCGTTTTCGGGGAGGGGGGTCTGGGACCAGTCTAGTTTTTGGAGAGTTACGGCGGGTGCGGAAGGGGGGAGGGGGCAGGAGAGGAAGTCTGAGGGGATAGGGACTTGGTTGGAGGTGTAGGATGTTTGTTGGGGTTTGGGGGCGCGTTTGGGGGGTTTTGGCTTGAGGGCCGCGGGGATGAGGTCTGAGATGGGCATTGTGAGAGATTTCGTTTCTTGATATGGGGGAGATTGATTCTTTGCTAGTACTCCTTTGAGCTGGTTTCGAGAAGTTTGGTTGTGGTGGTTGAAGCTGGTGGGCGTTGATGCGTTGTGGTTGTTGTGATGACCTGTTGTTATTGGCGCTCTTGTCGGACGTCAAGGGTTGCTTGATGTGTTGGTTCTGCCAACTACTTGAAGCAAAAAAAGACACAGACACCGCCTCTTTTCTCTAAAAGACACTTCAGCAGGTATTTACAAAAGGACAGAAATGTGACTGCCTAACAAAACAGCGTCAAGGCGCAAGCTTGGCTTCGCCTCGTAAGTTGGTGACTCGACGAGACTAACAATGCGGCGGTGTATGGATTGGCCTCAGGTGAACAGACTTGAGGTGTGTAAGCACTTGTCCCCGCGCAAACTAAAAAACATCAGGCTGCTTTGTTTCGGGAAATGCAGTGTTAGAAAAACGTGTCTTCAATCCTCAACTCGGTCTCAGAAAAATGCCTCGACGTCTGCCTTGTAGACTCATACATTGAGACAAAGACTGTTCAAGCGTGGATGCCTGCGACGGATGTAAGTGCCTAGTGCGGGGTCAATCTCACGGAGCTGATTGGTTCTTCGCTGATTACCTGATTTACTCGAAGTCCCGAACGATAGGTACCGAGAGGGATTCCAAAAGTCAAACTCTGCAATCTTCCCCATGGAATCCTACATATCGCATCGTTGTTAATGAGGTGGTCTCCTATTTACCTTGAATGGGCAGGAACGTCTATTGACGAGCTGAGCTGGCATCTGGGCAGGACTGTTTCGGACGCCTACAAGCATGGACTTGGCTGTGCTGTGGTGGCGAGGTGCCTAATCGTGTCGGGGGAAAAGGCTTCCATTTGGGTATCGTCTGTCGAGCACGAGCGATCATCATTGACGTATTCGTGAACGAATCATCTGAATGGGGCACGTAGCTATAAAGGACTACGAGTATTCATTATTGATATATTCGTGAATGAAATACATTAACGGGACGAGTAGCTATAAACGACAAAGGGTATAGCTGTGCAATCAAAAATCGCTGAGTTCTGGTGTGAATTTTTGCGAAGCCCAAGGGATCTTAACCTAAGGTAGATAGATACCTTAAAATGTGCCCCTCTCATCCCGTTTCAACGACCTTGACTTAGATCGAGACTGATGGTGCCATTTTGCAGTGGAGTGAGAACGCACCTCATCTTACAGTGTTCATCAGCTCTTAGGTCGATGCGATGCTACCAACGTTGAAAAGGAGACTTCGGTGGTGCTATGAAGGAGGAGTTCTCTAGCGTTTTAAGAATAAACCTCGTTCAAGAGTGTTTGTCCTCTCTGAGGTCGATAACCTCTCGACGAGCGTTGCTTGGAAACTTCCATCATGTAATGTACGCCGAGACAACATGACGTGAAATGATCTTCGGAACTGCTTGGGAAATAATCTTCCTTCTACGTTCTATATGTAAACCTGGCACCGTGAAGCGTACTTTGGCAATGCTCTTGCATCATGGTATCAACAATCTCTCCTTTCCAAGCCCAATACCATCAAACCTGCTCATCCTGTTCCCTCGTCCTCCCTCCACCCTTGTCCTCTCCAACCTCACCTCCCTCCTCCAACCCAGTCCTCGTCTCAGTATGCATGTCACTCAACTCAACCTGCCTTATAAAAAACGTAGCAACAAACCCAACACCAGACATGACACAAAAGAAGATCCAAATCTTGCTCAACCCATCCGTCACCGCAAGCCTCACAACCCCCCTCTGCCCCTCACTCAACCTCTCCATAATCCTATGCGCCGCCGCCGCAATCGTCCCTCCCCTCCCAAACTTGGCCGCAACCTCAGCCGGCACCCCGGCCGCCAACAACCGGCCCTCATGCCGTCCAACAACACTCTGAAATATGACCTGCCCGACGACAACACCAATACCCAGCGCAATATGCCTCACAAACGCAAACGTCGCCGTCCCCGTCGCCACGTCCGCTTGCCTCACCAGCGCTTGCAACGCAATAAGCAACGCCTGCAGATTAGGCGAGATCCCCAGCGCAGCAAGCACCTGGAAGAGAATCAACCGCGGCCAGTCCCGTCCCGCAGGCAACGTCACAAACAACCCAAACGCAATCGCCGTAAGCGCCATCGACACCCGTACAATCTCAACGTACCGCCCCGTCTTCTTAATCGTCACCCCGACGCCAATGGTACAGACTGCCAGCGGCAGCGCCGTCGCGAGAAGCCACACGCCCGACTGAATCGGGCTCGCACCGAGTACCGCCTGAAAGTAGAGCGGTAAGAAAAACGCAATCGCCGCGAAGCCTAACCCGTGGCAGAAGTTGGCCACGTAGCAGAAGACGACCGACGCGTCGCGGAACAGCGAGGCTGGCATGAGCGGGTACTTTGCGAAGCGCTCCACGAAGGCGAAGACAGCGTAGGCCGCACAGCCAAAGACGATGAGGCAGATGACGGTAGCCGAGTCCCATGGGTCCCGAAGCCCGCCAAATTGCAGCCCGAGGAGGAGCATCAACGTCGCGCCGGTAAACGTGAGCGTGCCAAGCCAGTCAATGGCCACCAAGCCCCTAAGAAGCGGCGTCTTGGGCGTATGTATACGCAAAAAGAAGACGAGTATGAGCAGCGACGCGCCAGAGATGGGCAGGTTAATCCAAAAGCACCACCGCCACGAGACGTTCTCCGTCAGCCCGCCGCCGATGAGCGGTCCGATCCCGCTGGCGAGGCCCCACACGGCACCGACGGCGCCGAAATACGCGCCCCTCTCCCGCGGGCTGAAGAGGTCGCCGACGGTGATGTTGACCAGCGCCATGAGCCCGCCGCCCCCGAGCCCTTGGACCGCCCTCCCCGCGACTAGCATCGTCAGCGTCCCCGCGAGCGCTGAGACGAGGCTGCCGACCATGAAGACGACGTTGGCGATGACGAGTATCGGTTTGCGTCCGAAAATGTCGCTGACTTTGCCCCAGAAGGGAACTGAGGCGGCGTTGGCGAGGAGGTAGCTCGCACCGATCCAGGCGAAACCCGAATCAGAGGATCCAATCTCCCGGGCAATCGTCGGTAGGGCAGTGGTGATGATGACGGCGTCGAGGGCGGCGAGGAAGACGGCCATACAGAGCGCGAGCATCAGAATGATGGTCTGGGCCCGGGTACGGTCCGGTGCTGTCTTGGTGTCTGCCGTCGTGATGCTCCCTTCCCCTTGGTCGTCATCGGCGCTCCTCCGTTTCTCCCGCACCCCTCCCCCTGGTTCACCATCTTGGTCGTCATCGTGTGGACTCCTGTCGTGAGAAGATGTTTCTACTTCACCCGCCATCGTGAACAGCGGGATACCTTGTTTCGTCGGGTACACGACATGCTGCCCTCAGCGAGCACCACTTCCACCGCCCACAACGCGGGACGGGCCTTAATATACATACTTGGATTCCTCAGAATAAAAGACTCGGGCAACACCCATAGGCGCCTTGCGTGTTGTTGATTTGCCCAAAATGTCCCAGTGGCTCTGCGGCACAGCCTTATGGCCCGCGCCGCCGCCGGCATTCACGACAGCACATGTTCCTCAACATGAATAGGAGCCATGGCTTCCCAGCGCGCCGGACTTTTGGCTGCTTCGGTACGACCCACATTGCGCAATGCGAGGGCATCGACGCAAGGGTGGCAGAGTAAGAGAGACCGTTGGAGCAGATGTGGCTGCACGGCGCATGCGCGGGAGCCACACTTCTCATCCCTTGCCTATCCTCACCTCTGCAATTAGAAAAAAGTTCCGGATCTTTGGTCCTGGTTGGTGGCTTTACGAGAGTTACCGTGGGGGCCGTTTCCCTCGTGCCTCTTGTTCGCCCGAACATCGCCAAGGCTTTCACTTTCCCATAAGAACCACCCCAAGATTGACGTGCAGCGAACACCAAGACAGTCGGCGTAAGTTCCGAACAACACCAAAGAGGAAAGAGAGCAGAGGGTATCAAGCATAAGATTAGCAGAACCAACAGTCGCATGGCAAAACTGCCCATCCCATGGGTTGGATCTGCATGGAAAAGAGAGGGAGAGACACCAAAACCCCTGCCACGTCGGGCCGGGTTTACGCCTCTTCGTTTCCGTGGGCTGGAGCCGAGCGAATGAGAAAATTCCAACGTCAGCTTCGCATCAGCTTCCAATGCTACTTTGGATGCTCAGAGGATGGGAGTGTGGGTTCCAAAACAAAGGAGAATAATTATCGCCCGCCCAGCCCATCCACTCACAGCCTTTCCAGCGCAACGTTGAACGAGGCAGGGGAAAGCGCCCAATCCGATCGCGTAACTAGACACGGCTTGAGCGCTACATAGGCAAAATGCCAGGAACGGCGCGAAGCGCGAAGCGGGAATATGAAGGGGAGCCCGAAGGCCAAGAGACTTGCTAGAGATAAAGCACCTTTTCCCGGCTCTCCGTATGTATAGGCTGACAACTGCGTTTTTGATTAGGCATGATTATGCGGATTGCCGACTTCAAAAGTTCAGGCCGACGAGAAGTGACGAGTGCAAGTGTCTTTCGAACCTTCGTTGCAGGCGACGAACTTCGCCTTGCGTAACGATCCTTGCAGGATGCAGATGCAGTTCGTCGCCATCATCGTTCGGGAAACCTGTGATTCGGGGAGCGTATGGCATGCGGTCAAGGCCTCGGCGGGCGGAAATTCGTCTATTTTGTCTCCTTCGAGTGTGCCTCCCTGAGAGCTGTTACTCTGCTGAGCGCCCACGGTTTAATCTACGTGAACCTCGTGTTCACGTCCCATCCTCGCCTGTTGCGACATTCCAAACGTTGACACGCGCCATGTGGTGACTCGTGGTGTCCGGTCGTGTGGGTTACACACGTTGCCAACCCGCGTGCGAGCCTCGTGGGACTCCCTGTCCTACCCGAGCCTACCCGTATGAGAATTTGACGGAACGAGCCATGAGTGGTTACTTGCATCGATGGCCTCGGGGACCGGGTGAGAGGGAAATGAGACTCAATTCTGTACTATGAACGAAAGGTCAGACATCAACATTCCCTCCATCCTGCAACATCGGAGCCCGAAAGCTCGAATCTGAGGGAACTATATATTGTGTATCAAATTCGAATTCGCAAGCGCGCCCACAAGGTAGGACTGGCGATAGCGCAGAAGCATTGTCGTCGTCGCTACCTCGGTTCAACACGCAGTCCCGGCGATGGCGTAGCAGCACTTTCGCGGTCGAGTGGCGAATATCTCGAACGACGGCGTATCTAAACACGTATGGGGTATCATCAAAATGCAAAAAAACGTAAACGGAAAAAGCTCCCTCCACCACAAAATTGTTGCGTTTGTTTCCAAACCATCCACCTTCCTCTTCCTCCCCCCCCCCCTTTTTTTTTTTTTTTTTTTGTATCCCATGAGACGGACCATATTGCGATAGCGTAGTAGCATTGTCACCAGTCATCGCCTCCACTCCCGTGCGCCATTTCCCAGCGATGGCGTAGAAGCACTGTCGCCGTCGAGGAATCCAGCCTCATTTCCTGCCGCTCTTCGCCTGTAGCGCGGTGAACCAAGACCTTCCCCCGGATGAAAAGCATATGTAAACTTCGTATGGGCGTTGTATCGTAAATGATCGAGTGTGAAAAATGTATTAAAACGGAATGCGTGTAATTAGCACAAGAAGATAACAGCAGGTTGAGCTGCGTCGCAGACGGGGCGTTGTGTAAGTTGTCGGGTAGGAGCCACAGGCGGTTGTTGAAGCTTCCGGAGCAGCGTATGTTCCGGGTGGTTGTCGGCTCAACGCCCCAAGATGGAGACCCATTCAGGCGTCCTGGTTTTGGTTGGAACGGGGAAACAACTTTCCAAAGCCTCGCTGCCGGGCCTCGCGTCTTGCAGCGCCGTCCTCAATCTCACTAGAGGAGTCGAGGTTCGAGATCTTGCTCACCGGCTTGTTGCCGAAGACCTTGAGCAGGAAGAACATGGCGAAGCTGCTAACGATGCTCACGCAAAGGATGCCGATCATTGCGTAGTTACTGCGACGGTACTGATACCGACCCTTGGCGGCATCCTCTGGCCATCCGGTGTACAGAGCGTAGGTCGTGACAATGCTTCCAAGGTTGCCAAGGCCGGACACCAGGGCAGTCGCAGCTGCAACACCGACCTCGCCGTGGCGGCGTTGGAAGATCTCGTTCGTCCATGTCATGCAGTTGGGGACGGTGGGGCCGAGGCCAAAGCCGACCATCAGAAGACCGCCGTACCGGGCCCATCCGTTGTCGAGGGCAAAGGTTACGACGAGCAGACCGGCGATCTGAAGGCAGACCGCAGCTGAGAAGATGAAAGGTCGGTAGCCGTGGAATCGGTCTGAAATCGGCATCATGATAAGAATCGCAATCAAGTCCATCTGCATCTTGTCAATTACCGTCCACCCGAGGAAATTCAAGGTACTTACGATCCAGATTGGAGCAAAGAGTAAGCTGACTTGGATGCTCGTTGCCGTAGGCACAATGGAGCGGATGATGACAGATCCATAAAGTTGAGTACCGATTCCAACACCAACGACGCCAAAGTACATGAATGTCAAAGGCCATAGACGCCAATCGATCAGCACCTGCAGCAAATCCCTCATAGTCCAGGGTCTAGGATGGTAGACCCGTCGGAGGTCATTGTAGTGAATAACAGCGTCCTGGCCGGAAAGGGCTTCTGGGGTTGCCGGGAGCCATTTCAACCAGCTTGAGCGCTGGCGCTTCTGTCCCGGAGGAAGAGGGCGATCGGGAAGCCACCAAAGGAGGCAAAAGCCAAGAACTACAGCTACCAGACCGTAGATGAGGAACATCCAGCGGAAACCAACGAGGCCTCCCAAACCATCCATGAGTTGAAAGCCAGCAGACACAAGGCCGACCACAGCAGCAGAGAGCTGGGCAGCAGTGAAGTACATGCCGATTCGCTTACCCGTTCGAGAAGGCGGGTAGAACAAGGTGAGGTAGTACGACATTCCAGGCCACATGCCTGCAATCACAACACCGAGCAAGAAACGCAGAAGCCTGGTAGAAAGGTTAGCTCTGACAAGGACTGCCATTGGTCTTCAACATACTTGACACTCCAGGCGCTCTGCACGGCGGCGAAGCAGGTTCCAATGATACCAGTGGCAATGACAATGCGAGCCATCCAGATGCGAGGGCTCAGCTTGGCCATGACCAGGTTGGAGGGGCAGTCGAAGATGACATAGGCCACGTAGAAAAGAGCCAAAGCGGTCGAGGTGTCTTTGGCTGTCAAACCAAGGACGGACATCAAGTCATGGCCCTGGGCGGCATTCATGGTCTGCGCGATACCAATGTTGGACCTGATGGCCGAGCAGAGAAAGTAGAGCGTCCAGAATGCTATCGACTGTTAGTCCCACGGTCTCATTGGTGAGCAAGATGGGATGGTTACCTGGAATGATTCGAAGGTCGAGTTTCCTAGATGGTCGTCAGCTTCATCGTCGGACGCAATTGACAGCGGCCGAAGGTTTACATGCGTACCTGTAGACCCTCTCGACCGTTTCGATATCGTATTCTTCCTGCTCCTGATGAGATGGCCCGCCCCTTGGCTCCATCGTGGACGATCTAGCTGGCGTGCTGTACTCGGTGGGCTGTTTGTCATCGGCGCCATGCGCCCCCTCGTGTATGTGAGCCATACTTGACCAAGAAGCAATGGAAGTGCCTGCTACGAGTCTTTTTTCTGGCCACTCTCACGGACAAGTATTTGAAAGACAATTGGCAGTCTCGGCGCTTGGAGTCTGGTTTGAGTCTTTTGAACAGTAAACGTCGCACAAGCGAGCAGGGTAGCTTCGCGATGGTGATCAGGGTTGGTGAAGTTTTTGTTTTTCAGGGTGAGCGGACATCACAGGTATTTTTAAGGCGTCACTTGCCGACAGGCTGGGAACTTGGAGGGGCACATCGGAGCTGATAGTGGATACCTCCGAGGAAGCAGCTAGAGCCGTCTTCTTCAGGTGGTTCTGGCCTAGCTGCACTAGCAGATCTGGGCAGCCAGTCTCCCAATGGACCCAAGGGAGGAATTTGCTCTCAGAGACTCAGAAACCACCTTCTTCTCACTCTTTCATCGGCCGTTCTCGCCCAACAGAAATGGGGCTCCACTCCGGGTGGCAGGATCAGTGTGCAGTTTGCGGTGCGATTGTCGGTGGCCCGCAGCGAAGCCCACATTGCCGAGCCTCAGCGACTCCGGACTCGGTCACTAAACTGAGTCCAATCGTAGCGCCGTGACACCGACTCCAAGTCGGGTCACGGTGACATGAATCGACGTGAATCAGACCAAGATGGGTAAAGTCGTAGATGACTAGCTATAGTCTACGATAGAAGATGGCGGGAAGAGAGCGATTTATATGCAGTCAAAGCGTCGGGTTTACTGTCAATCTCTTAGGTGTTCTAATATTTGGAAGAGAAGAAGACACCGCATTTCATGTTTGTCAAGCCAGTGTTCATAGAGACTAAACACAAGTATGAGAAAGGGTACTTGCAGATGAAGTAGCTGTTGCAACGATTAGTGGCTGAAGATGCGAGTAACCAGATAGTGGTGGTGGTGGTGGTGTTGGTGGCCGCTCGTACAGAAATGGATGGTGGGGTAAATCCAAAGTGGTCGAGCGTCGCTTCAACCTCACAACTCCAGGTTCACCTTTGACGCACAGGAGCACCGGAATATCGCAAGCTTCGTCGTCACTTAGCGGTCTGTGTTGAAATTATCTTGAAATTTATCACCTATAGATACGTCCATCAGTATCGGATGCTTGGTGGACAATGCCATGGGCTGTTACAGCCTTAAGGCATCAATCAAAAAGGTTTTGGCCTTAGCCTTCAGGAGTTGAGGGCAGATGCTCATCTCCTTCCCCCTTCTCCTCATCACAACCCCACTTCATTCAGTCTCGTGTCAATAACCACGTCGACTGCTCTCCTTTTCATGCGCGATGCTGAACTTATCGTAGTCTTCAACTCGTTGAAACCACACGTATATACATGGTCACTGACCTGTCTGCGATCCTTCGGGTTGTTATCTGCACGCTTCTCTTTGCGATATCACTGCCTGACTGGGTGCCTGTCCACACCCCCTCGACCTGCCTGATCGCCTGTTCGCCAACAACGTTGTCATCCCCACGACTGCCTCAAGACAGCTTTTATAGCTCGCAAACTCAATTCGTTGGCTGGTTGCTTCACCGAAATGGCTATAGATCCACCGCGAAGGAGTCCAGATCTATTTGTGAGCGGGGTAGCTCCCATCCTCACGTTGTGGCCGTCGTTTCATCACACCTGCCAACCGTGAAACGAGTCATCGGTGAACGTGACGAATAGGCTTCTAGACGAATAGGCACTCGCTTATGGCCAGGAGCTAGCATGAACAGAAGCTCTCGACGACCTCGACGTGTGGTACGCGGACTATTCGAGCACCAGCATGCGCGATGCCATAGGATGACGACTGTGCTCCCAAAGAGGGAGGTGATGTGGCCGATGGCAACGATTCACGCGTTCGCGCCAGGTCCAGACGCGCGAGTGCGAAGAACGGCCTCATGCACGCAGCGTCTACCAATAGGTAGGCTCACGATATGGCCCAGTGACCAAGTGGACACGGTCTTGTTGTGTACTCTTTCACACTGACGTCTCTCATGCGGGTATCTCGCCCACTGGCTTGATGCCTAACTACCAAGACCAACATTCGCCTACTCACGCTAAGCATCTTTCTAGAGATGATGTACGATGAAAGTTGATGGCATCAATGTGTCTGCTCGCAATATTCTCTGATTACACAGTCATCTATCGTCCTAGCCAACGAGTGTTGGAACTTTGCCGCTGGCCTGCTGAACGGCCTCACTGAGGCTGTGTGTGAATATCTACTTCTATCTCTGTACCAAATCTCACTCTAGTGCGGCTCAGTTACGAAGAACTACCAATCGTCTTCGAGGGAATCGTGGGTTCTGGGCCGTAGGATCTCCTGTGAAAGCCTTCCGTAAGCCATAGGTGAGTCTTTGAACCCAATCTCAGCTATACACTTCCAAGATATTACCTGAAAGGACTGACCGGAGAATCCTGAGCTTTAGCAGATGATAATGGGACAGCTGAATTACCAAGACGATCAGACCCCTGCGCTGGCAGCCTTGGAGGCCAACCCAAATGCGTTTCCGTGTGACTCACGAAACAGGCGTGACAGGCACCTCAACCACAGTTTGACACCATCACCAATGATTTGGATGTCGAGGCTTGCCGCCTAGACCGACCTGGCAAGCATATAATGTTCCAGATGTCTCTCAAGGTATGATTTTACAGAACCCCTTCTCAGCTGAAGTATATCGAACATTGGATCGAAGAAGCTAAAGACATCTCCTCAAAAGTTGGTGGGTTCCCTCACATGCTATCCGCATAAGCATTCAGCTTCTGCCTTCAGCGCCACGTCAAACAAGGAAAGGTGGATACCTTTTGGTGGCTGGTGGCGAGCAAGGATCATCACGTGGATCTAAGCTGAATAATCCAAGTCCATGCTCATGTGGCTGACGCAGCTTGCTAACCAGCTTCCACGTCTTCAGCCAGATTTTTCAGGCAAACTGACTTTTCTGCCTTCGCAGCATCGGAGCTCATCACCTGCAAGCTTGACGAAGCGACGCGTTATCAAGTAACCGCAGTCGCAACATCCCTCACTGCGGAGATTCTTTCATTTCTTTCCTGCCGACTCGTTATCTGTCGTTTTTAGTGCGGTTTCCCGCAAACGACCCGGAAGTCGCGACTTCTTTCTCGATCACGACATCCTCCGATCATCGTTCTTCCCATAGCAAGCTTCATTAAGCAGCCACCGGATTCCCATTCAAGATGAGCGTCGTCTACGAACCTCGGAATTTCATGCACGATGGCTCGTATCCTCCCATCGGCGACCACGATCACGACCATGTTCTCGATCAAACTGGGCAGTATCAGGCGTCCGATGTCCCGGACCTCGCCTCCTACAATCCGACGTCCTCGATGCTCGGCGACGACCGGTCTCTGATGCCGGACGGTCTTGACGATACCTCCGTCGGCGTCCCAGATGCGACGCGACTCGATCTTTCCGCACCTCCCACTCTTGCGTCCCTTCCTTCGAGTCTTCCTCCGGCGCTGCCCGAGCCCTTGCCATCAAACAATAAGGACGAAGGCGAGGCCTCGACTCCTACATCGAGAGTCAAGTGCATACCAAAGCCCGAACGCGAGGTGACGAAACAGCCCGATGGAAAGTTCTACTGCACTTTCCCGGGATGCACGGAAGAGACGCAAATCTTCACTCGGAAATGCGAATGGAGGTAAGTGATGCAAACTCCGAAGCTCTTGCCACTTTGTCATGATGCTGACCAATTCTTCTTCGTAGCAAACACATGGACAAACACGAGCGACCCTACCGATGCGCAGCCGAGGGTTGCGAGAAGCTTCCCGGATTCACCTACTCCGGCGGTCTTCTCCGCCACGAGCGCGAAGTCCACGGCAAGCACGGCGGTCCAAAGAACACTGTTAACTGTCCACATCCGAATTGCAAGCGTCATACCGGCAAGGGCTTTTCGCGACAAGAGAACCTGAATGAGCATCTCCGACGAGTACACACGAGCGACGGCTCCAGCACGGTTCAAGAAGACATCCAAACCGGTAGTGACGGTGACAGTGACAAGGCCATTGGATTCGGCGCGGGAAGCAAGCGGAAACGCTCCCGAAAGGGTTCTGACGCGGGACTCGATGAGCTGCGCGAGGAGATCAAGCGCGTGCGCATGGAAAATGAAGAGCTGCGCCAGCAACTCGACAGACAGGGTCAGCACAGCTTCGCCATGATGTCGCAGATTGCGGAGCTCCAGGATGCGCTGCGGACGAACCTCGATCCGTCCGGGCTCGGCGCTCCCACCGCCACGATGTTGTGACAATCAGAATCAACGCCTGCGCCCCTTCCCGAAAGCGACAGCTTCCTCCCGAACTTCCCGCTACGGCGTTACGACCACACCACCACACCTTAACTCAATCCCCGGCGGCCACGACTGACAGTCTAGGCTGCCACATTAAATCCCCGCGTCCTCGAATCGACTCGACACCTCACCGCATACACCACCACACCACGTACACACTATTACGACACACGCATCGACGAGGCGTTCTAGAGCAGAAAACTGCTTTTTCATGATCCATACAATCCGTTTTGTCTCTTTTGGCCGTGGTCACACGACGCCGTGTATACTTTTATCGGCATGGGTAATTCAACAGAAAGGGGTAACCAGGCGTTTTACGGGACAATCAACACTCGACTTTTTTCTTTTCCACGGCTTTCTACGGTGGCGAAGAAAGCCCAAGGACGATGACGACTACTTTTTGATATCCCCTCCTCCCCTTCACTAATGCAGAGCGTTGTGCAGAGGGACACAGAAAGATGGAACAAAAAAAAGAAGAGAAATACCACATGTTTTTTTTTCCGGCGTTTATTTACCACACCTTTTCTTTTTCTCTTGATGGCAAATGGTAGATTGTACATTTCCCCTCTCCTCAACTCACGCCTCCTCCCTTCGCTTCTCAGGTTCTTCTCAGCACCAAACACAAATCTTGTAATTCTACTATCTTGTATTGCGAACGAACAGTCACTTTTTTAAGTGCGTAGCACCATAGACGGGACGGATGACCTTTGATGATAGCATGGTATCCCTCCAACCCCCATAAATTAAGATGAAACTTCTCTTCTCACCCTCCAAGACGATTTGAATTACTTCATCCCAACATGTGAATATTTGTTACTGGGTGACTACTGTC